TTTTTTACCCCGTTAAACCGTAGCTTTTTACTTTTTAATCCGTAGATCCTATTAAACCGAAATTTTTTTCGAAATGAATTTTTATTTTAATATTAACTAATCGGATACTAATATTCAAGTTTTTGAAATATATATACACCAGGGTCCCGAAAACTATATAGATAGATTACATCCGAAAATCACAGTTTGATAGTAATAGAGTTTGACATCACACTGTGATTGCTATTAGAGACAATCTTTCCAAAATTAGTCATTTTTATATGACTTTTTTGAAGTTTGCGGGGTCCTTAATATACCCCATAAAAAATTTGTTACACAATATGTATAAATTACATAATAAGACGATCATTTATATAATTCATTTTTATAGTTGATAATTATAATTGATTCGATTATTTTTAGGGTGATATAGATGGTTTGAGAACTTTACGTTTATTAGATGCCATCAGAATTGTTGGTTTAGCAAACCATGTTAGATTTTATCAGGTAACAATTATTATTTTACACTACTCTCCTCACTTATACCGATAATTAATAAATCTATGTCCCTTTCTATATATATATACTTATCTATCCACCACTTTATATATTTATAGACATCCACGTCTGAGCTTTATGGCAAACCTGTAGAAACTCCACAGTCAGAAACCACACCATTTTATCCTCGTTCACCCTATGGTGTAGCTAAACTTTATGCCTATTGGATTGTTGTCAATTACCGCGAGGCATACAATATGTTTGCTTGTAATGGTGTTTTGTTCAATCACGAATCTCCACGTAGAGGTCGTACTTTTGTAACTCGTAAAATTTCTAGAGCCGTAGCTGAAATTCACCTAGGTAAACAAAGCTGTCTATATCTTGGTAACATTGATTCTAAGCGTGATTGGGGTCATGCAAGAGATTATATTGGTTAGGACATATTACATTTATTACATTTATTTATTATCTATGATATATTTACATGATGCATGATAATTTATAACACAAAAAATTATTATTTATTTCCTTCTTTCA